ATTTGCTGTCATGTTAAACTTATATTAAAGTTTTTCTTCATTACCCATTTAAGCCGTCTCCAGCCATTGTTTATATAACTTGTTCTTGTTTTAGTTGAAGATTATGCTAAGCATATATTTATAGCTAGTAAAGATTTTTTATGTTACAGGAGACGTTAGTGGTGGGTGCTTCCAATGACTTTGCAAGTCGTGTGTGGACAGTTGATGATTTGAGACTAAGGGTAAATTGCTTTAATTTCACAATAAAAAGAATATATTTATAAAAATAAATAAAGTTGTGTAAATTATGTTCTCCAGTTAACTTTAAGTTTAGATTTCCTTATTTTGGCATTTTATACCAGATAATGAATGAGTATGAAAACACCCAAATAGATTAAATGTAATTTCAAAAGACTGAAAGATAATACATTAGTCATCCTGGATGAGATATTCATTTTCATATTTCATCCAGATTTATCCAAATAATGATGAACTAGCTGTCTTACTAACCCTTAAATGATGCTACAGGGTTACACGCATAGACTGAACACTCACTCTGACATTTCAGTCACATTTGAAAATAATTATAGGTGTACATGCAATATTGAATTTAAAAAGTTACAAGAAACTTTCCAGTAGTTTAAATATGAAGTATATTTATATATATTTACCTGTGATATTCAAGAAAATACAAAGTATTGTCAATTATGATATTTAAGAAAGTTAAGCGTGCTATTGTAGAGAAAATAACATGTAATAAGTGTAAATAAATTTATTTATGCTTCCAGCACACACTTACAGGACATAGTGGAAAAGTTCTTGCAGCTAAGTTTCTTGGAGAGTTCAGTAAAGTTGTATCAGGTAGTCATGACAGAACACTCAAGATTTGGGATCTCAGAAGTAGGTCTTGTAAGTACCAAATGTCACAGGTTGTTTATCCTCATCTTAAAAATTAATGAAAGCGTTAGAGTACAACTAATACAGTTTGTTTGTCATTCATACCAGTTACAATGTAAAGAGATGCAGAATAAATCTCTTAATGATGAAAAATTATTTAAAATTTACTAATAATCCCGTTTTATAGCTAAACATTGAAAATGTAAAATCCATCCACCTAATACAAATTTGAAATTATTTGAGATTTTGATTTATTAATAACCTAAATATTAATTTTATCTAGGTATCAGAACAATATTTGCTGGTTCAAGCTGTAATGATCTAGTCACAAGTGATGGCTCTGGAACAAACATAATTAGTGGGCACTTTGATAAACGTATTAGGTTTTGGGACACAAGGTCAGAGTCTAGTGCTAATGAAATTTTACTTCAAGGAAAAATCACATCCTTAGACCTATCACCAGGTTAGTGCTTCATGAAGTGATTCAAAAAATATCAAGATAATTTGAAAACCTAAAGAGTAGTTTAAAGTGTAAAAGTCTTATGTAAGCATTTTGATTTTGTAATTACTTGATGTGACTCATTAGCAGCTTGTTATTGGAATTTTTTATAATCAATGTCCATTATAAATTGTCATTGTTTATCCTCATACATTGTCTGATACTAGCATTCTAACTTTTTATCTGATCAATATAAGAAGAGATAAAAATGAGCATAAAATCTCAATATATCAACAGTTTATCAAAAGTTTTTTTTTTGTTAAGATCTATATGGAGTTTAAGAATGAACAGTTAAAGCCTTGAAATTTGTTTAATCCTCTTCCTATAAGTCATGTCATACTGTATTCTTGCATCTGAATTTTGATGATTGAAATATAGCATTCATGGAAGATAAAGTACACATTGAAATTGGGTTATTCATGACTTAGTGGTTAATGTGTCAGACCATAAATCAGAAGGTCCATGTTTTACATCTTTTGTCACAGAATCATACTCTGCATGGTAAAATCCCACTATCTGATTAGAGTAATTCAAGATACGGGAGCGGGTGCTGTTGACTAGCCGAGTTCCCTTTATTCATTCAATTAAAAATTAGGGATGCCTAGTTCAGACAACCCTTGTGAAGCTTTATTGGAATATCTTAAAACAAACAAATAAGCTTTAATTAAAGTGACTAATAATACATAGGACATTGCTGATAATGGTTAAGCAAGCTTTGGCCAATTCTACATATATCATGGCATACTTCTTTTCGTAGTAAGATTAATATGCTATTACCATGAAGTAGTGACAAAATGGCTCCCAGAGGTAGAAATGGGGACAGGAACCATTACAAGTTGATTAGTAGCTTCCTAGCATTATAGTTTTCTCTAAGGGTATTAGGGTAAATCTCAACTTGTGTATCGATGTTGTTGAGTTGAACAAACTAATTTACTTTAATTTGAAGCTGCCTAATGATATAGCCAACATATATAAACCCGAAGCTTGGAGGAGGGCAAGAACAAAAAAGAATAGGAAACGGTTAAAGGAAAAATAGTATATGTAGTTACCATTTTGGCCAAATGACCTTTGTCCTTTTGCCATCAATTATCCATGGAAGCATTGCATTATCAAATGGTGAGGAATTTGCTATGAGGTAAATATTTAGGTGCTAAACACATCTATTGTAGCTTATACCTGCAGTGACATGTAACTACATTAACATATGCAGATAATTGTTATAAAATATGGTGAACCCTCTGTACAACTCACCATAATAATATACAAACACAAATGTTAAATATTTGAAAACTCAAAAGTTGCTCTTATAAATGATGGACGTAGTTTTGCTTAGTTGCTTCAAAAATTTCGTTGGTTAATCTTTGCTGTTTCAAATCATGAATAATTATTCTAAGTACATTGTGAAGTAAGTGTAATACTTATAGGAAATTTCTGAACATTTTTGCAATCTAGAAATGTAACAAAAATATATTTTTATAGTAAAAAAAAATGTATTTTATATATATCTTACAAAAGCATTTGTTATACTTGATATGCCACACATAAAATATAATTTTATCCTTGTAAAATCCAAATGTAGTATATATCAATGTAGAAGTTTCATATAGATCTTTACATAGTTTGTTTTTTATATTGCGTAAACATTTTTAATGTATTCAGTACGCATACAGTCCAGTTGATTTTCTAAGTCTTGCTGGTTATATACTGAAGTTTCTGAATGCTAGAATTAGTTGTATTCTTTGTAGATGGTTTCTACCTGTTAAGCTGTGTTAGAGATGACACCTTGAAACTTTTAGATCTTAGGATGAATCAAGTGATTCGGACGTTTTGGTGAGTGCAATTTGATTGAAAGTTAACTAATGCTAGGTTCATGTAATTCTATACTTTTTTTATTATAATTTATTTTTCGTAATTAAATGATAACCTAAAAAAAACTTTATATACTTAAACTTGGGTTGTTTTCACTGTGAGTAGGAATCTTCCAGATGTGAAAGCTTATACAGGTAACATGTTCATATATAGTATTAATTGCTTTACTTTTTGTTGAGTGAGTGAGTGAAAATTAAAAGAAAAAATTATTCACTTAATAGCAAGAAAATGAAAATATAATATTTATCTCTTATTAATTGACAAGCACTTTTGCTTATTATCTTGCACTTAACTTAAAAAATAAACATATAATAATTTAGTATAATAATTAAAATAAATTTTTCTGTTGGTTCATAATGGTTTCAACGATATTTTCTTGTTTAGGGTCAGTTCCTTTCAGAAACTATAAATTTAAATTTCTAATCATTGTATCTACTACTCAGCAATAAAACAGATAATGGTAGTTTTTTTAATCAATTAAAATTATCACTAAATTCTGTTCAATAATTTTTCATTATGTAACTCGTTCAGCTGGTGCAATAGGCCTATTGACACTCTTAGCCACTCCAGCTATTGCCTCCTTCCAATTAACATTTACTCTTGATAAACATAATCATTGTTAAGCACAACCCTCCATCTTATTTGAGGCCTTTCTCTTGGTCACCTCCTTGTACAAATACTTCATATACTGCTCTTATTGTTCTTTCCTCTCTTGCTTGCAGAGCATGATCAGCTGAGAATACTGGGGCTGATCGCTCTCTAAAAATATTAAGTGCACAAAAAGCCTTGGTTGCCAACCATATCCTAACTTCCACTTTGCTCAAAACTTCATTCCTTGCCATAACTAATAACTCCAAATAATGAAACACTATTATTCTTATCTTGCATTGATCTATTTCTTTCACTCTAGACTAAAATGTAGCTTGATTTCTACTACTGGAATGCATAACTTTTGTTTTCTTACAGTTAATAACCAATCCAAGTTTCTCTGCAGTTCTTCTTAACATTCTAAATGCATTTTATATTTATCATATTTTTTGTGCCTAAACAGCATTTGTACTGGTTATTTTCCCAGCAATATTTTTCCCTCTCTATTTTCCATTTGCCTTGCTACTTATTCCAATCCAAAATAAAAAAAACATAAGGAAAAGATCATTCAGAAAGATGGTCAATATATAACAGTTGGGTCACAAGATGGTGTTTTATTTATCTGGAACTGTAGTTCAGCTAGAGTAGAAAGAATGCTTAAGGAACATAACTATGGTTTATGTAATATATTTTATATTTTGCTGTAGAAGTCTTGAACCACCATTAGAGAAGGGGTTAACTAAATTCAGATTAACTTTTTAGTCTTCAGTGTTTTAACCACCAGTAGGGAGAGTATTAACTGTTCAGTCTTGGGAATTTTGTTTTTATACAGGATACATTTAGACATGAATAATAAAAATAAAACCAAATTTCTTTAATGAAGAATTGTTTTGAAAATTTTCATTTAATATAAAAGGAGACCCTACATAATGAAAGCATGTAGGTTGTTAGTTTATTCTTATTGTGGAGTATCTAACTGTTGTGATTTGTTTCCAAGCATCATAATTTTGTACTAGAAAACTGACTCGCATGTATGTTCAGCATTAGATGGATATCTTATGAAAAGACCATATAATGACAGTGTGTAGCTGCTCTTGCAATCATTTTGCAGTTGTTTTAGGATTTGACTTGCAGCAAGTGTAGTTTATGACTTTAAAGTTTGCTATATGATTAGTAAGGTAGTACAAATACAAAATTTACAAAATTCAAATTGTTGTGTAAGAAGGAATGGGGGATAACAAAAGACTAAATCATTCCAAAAATGGAATGGAATTAGACATGTATATATGTATATGAAGCACAATGTAGCAACAAGAAGATGTAGTATCTGCCTCCAGACACGACTGTCACAAAAAACAAAGGTAGATGTAAATAAAATTAGTGCTTACAATCTCAAATCATCCTATTTGTAATAAAGAATATTAAAAAAGAAACTCGGTGTTGGTTTCTTAAGCAACATACCACTAGTGGATAGTGAGCAGCTACAGAATAAGTACTAATTGTATTAGTAGGTCTAGAAGGTCTGTTCAAATCACAGGTGAACTCTACTAATAATAAAACAATCTCAAACTGAAGACCAGCTATAAAATAAGACTTGAATATTAGTTTTGAGTAGGCTCTTAAAGTTATAAAATAGAATCCAATGATGAGCTGTGAAATAGAATTTAATTGGTGTGTTTTAATGTAGGCCTTTAAAATTTTTTTATAAAAAAAAGACACTATGATCAACTCTAAAGTAGAACTAAAAAAAGTATATCAGTTTGTGTTATATGTTTATGTAAATTATAAAATTTGATATATTTTTATGCTTTTAAATCTTAACATGTTGTGATACAGTATATTTATCTCACATTATTTCTTATAGCGCTGATGGTTTCAAGGTTGGATGTGACTGGACACGTGCCAAATTTAGCCCCGATGGTCAATATATAACAGTTGGGTCACAAGATGGTGTTTTATTCATCTGGAACTGTAGTTCAGCTAGAGTGGAAAAAACGCTTAAAGAACATAAGTATGGTTTATGTAATGTATTTCATATTTTGTTGTAGAAGTCCTGAAATGTAATGTATTTTGTTAAAACTTGTTTGTATTTACTTAGTTTCATCCTATGTTGTTTTGTGTAGTTTTAATAGATTCCTTATATTTTTATTAGAAACATGTCAGGCATATATTCATATGTATTTGCCATTTTTTGATATGTTCTTTGTTTTCTTTAGCTGTTGTTTTTAGGCTGGTATTTCTTCTGAAAATTACTTATATAATTCAGTATTCATTACCTCAGTATATTTAATGAACTTAAAGGATTTTTTTTTCTATCATATTTTTATCACCTTGTTTCAAGTACATATTGTGTTATGCACTACCTCTCCAGTAGTGCAAGCGTGATCAGTGGTAATTATTTTAGCCCTGAATTACGTGTGAAAGATTGAACTTTAATTTATACTCATTTTGTGTTACTAACCCGTTGATTAATCATTCTTCTACTGGGCATACTATATTGAAAATATACACATAATTTTATTTGCAACCACCCTTAGGGAAAGGGTAAACTAAATTTAGAGTAACTACTTAGTCTTCAGTGTTTTAACCACCAGTAGGGAGAGGATTAACTGTTCAGTCTTGTTTTCATACAGGATACATTTTGACATTGTTTTTTCTTATAGAAAGTCTTTTTATTGATTTTGTTTCTTTCTTTAATGTAGTTATATTTAGGTCTAAAAAATTAGAATTAGTGTCATGAAACAATAAAAACCTAACTTTTCAATAAATAAATTATATTAGCTATTAAATAAACTGAGCTGATACTTTGTGTTATAGCCACTTTAATTATACTTTTGTTTTATTTCCAGTACTATTATTACTGCTTGTTCTTGGAATCCAAGTGGGCAGTACATTATCAGTGTGGACAAGAATAAAAAAGCTATTGTATGGACTGATATATGAAAGCAGATTATGGATTCCATCTGAAGAACAAATGTATTATGAATATCTTTAGCCACAAATATCTTTGGTTATCGATGTCTTCAACTGGAAAGCAATTTTGTTGTGAATCTTTTAGATATCAAAATGAAAGCTTTTCTGTTGGGAATCATCTTATGTTTATTTGAAAGCAATTGCGAGGAAAACTAGTGTTCAATGAAATCAAAGCTGCAGACTTTCTGATGTCTAACAAGTCAAAGCATATTTGCACTGAATCTTAACACATGAGGTGGATCTACTTCTGAATAGAAAGAAAGTTCCTACAACTCTTTCCTGAAAGAGAACATCTTGGATTCAACAGATGGAGAGTTCTTTCTGATTTAAAACCACAAGCAGAAATCTCATTAGTTGAAAAAGTCAACTTTAACTTGTTCTATTTTACTTAAGAGTTCTTCTTTATAACTGTTAACTGATTTAGCACAGCAGAAAGAACTGTGATTAATAAAAAAAATCTTCCGTTACACAGTTGTATCTTGTTAACTGTACACTGTAGAAACTCGGGATGAGTTAAAGAATGGAGTGTTTATAAGAAAGAATTGCTTTTTTTAGCTAGCTATTGTGGTCACTTGGTTCATGTAACAATTTTATATTTGAATGTGTACTGAGGTAACATCTAACCTGAAACAGTAATTGTATATTCTTGCTCTTGTACAGTTTGTCATAAAACTTGAGATTGTATATGGAAGTTTTACTGGTCAATGATTTGGTGCTTTAGTTGGTGATCAAAATATTTTGGTGAAAGTAATGCAAAATGTAGTTCCAAGTTAGGTGTTTTGAAGGGCAGTTGTTCAATGTGTGGTCTTCCTGTTGTGATAATATATATAACTTCAAACTGTCTTATTCTTATGGAAAATATTTTAAAGTAAAAAATCTACAGTTTTTTTTTTCCGAAACAATTTGCTTGAACTTCATAAAACCACATATAGCCTACATTGAATGTCAATAGGAATTATAAATGAAACCCATATTTATTGATAAATTGTGGAATTGCAATGTTTATAAAGATAAAAAATAAATATTTTAAATACATTTGTAATAATACCAGGATAAGTACACACACAGACATGCATATATAGACATCAAATGTTATTTAGCTTGCTGCCTCAAGTTTCTCAATACTGAAACAGTGTATGATTGAATAATTAATGTATGTAAAGAAAATGTTTCAAGAAATTTTTAACAATTTTTAGATACCAAATATTGTGCTTCAAGCAAATCCTGCATTGTTTTTGTATCAGTTAAGCTAAATAAGCAGGTAATGGAGAAATTAAATATTCACATGTAAGTAATAATTCTTCAGTAAAAATACTGTTGCCAAGTTTGAAATAGACAAAGCTTTTGTTATTTGTATAGATCTTGGGAAAAACTAATGTACATTAGAACCATGGTAGTGTGCAGTTACACTGATAAACATAATGGAGTGTGTTTAAAAAAAATAATAAGACATTGATCATCAGCATAATATATTTAAAAACACCAAATAAATAATCTCTTAACAATGGCAACTCCAGAAGTTCTAAAACTTTTGCAGCTGTCATACCCCTTTTCAAGTTTAGTAGAAATTATTGTATCCACACAATGAATAAGTGTATAATTATTATTTTTGAATGGTGTAAATTTTCCCCCTTGGTTTTTTTCATATAATCCTTCAATAACCACCACATACCTCTCATTTAGTCAAATGAACGGTTGTTTCCACTGATGTCGTGTGAAAACATCTCTAGGAACCTCGTACAGTGCACCATAAATTCATAAGAATACATCTGTCAGAGATTTACATACACTTAAAGCTTGACATATATAAACACTAGGATTGGTTGTTGGATTGAAGAAATTGGAATACAACTGTTAAATTGGCCATACAGCATGAGACCTGAAATTTCTTGCTTGTGTCCAAAACATAGCTGATTTAGTAAGAAGCACAAGTATCAAACATAACTTATGATCCATAATTGTAAATGCTGTTTAAGTTTGTATTTGAAGAAATTCCACGAAATGTAGGGGGTTTTTCCTAGTGTGCAGGTGATTACAAATTGTACACCTGTAAAAATATTTGTGCAGTTGAAAATTCACCTATATAAGTAACTTCAAGTGGATGAATATTTAAAAATCATATTTAAGATTATAAAATTCCATTACAGAGTTGATAAAGAAATGTATTTACTAGAATATTCTTTATTTTTTGGATAATTTGTTATTAGGGCTGTATATATATGAGGTGCAATAACTCCTCGTGTATCAAAAAATGATGCAGTTTAAAAAAAATCCTTAGAAAAAAGCTCCAATGAAATGATTTTTTTTCAGACGGATTTCTTCTATTAGAAACTTTAGTGTTCATACCAATGTGTTTAGTCTACAAGTCAGAAAAGCTGATAACAGATGTTAAATCAAGTCTTGTGCTTTGGTAAAATCTGAGATTTGTAATAAGTTTTGTAAAGTTCTTGAAATTTTCAAAAGGTGGTTCTCAGATGTTATGAAAAACCAAAGCTAACAATTTTAACAATAAAAAAAAATATTGAATTAGATGATGGACAAATAAGTATCTTAAATTGCTACTGTTATAATAAGCATATTTTTGGAAACTATTAAAAAAAAAGTGTATTTCATCCTCTGGAAGAAGTCCTATACTTTATTTATTTTAGACAAAATTAGAAAGGGGTTATCTTGCATATAAAATACATAATTGCACATGGTTCAGTAATAGTCCTGGGTTCTTTTCTCTAACCTTTGGTGGTCCTGTTAATTTTATGTTGTTGTTGTTATGACAGTGTTTTTGAACATAACATTATGTGATCTGTGAATTTGACAAAAAATTATTGTTCATAAATCACTTAATTTTACCAGTCTTTAGTTTTATAATCTTAAGGTCTTGCTTGTTGTAACTTTCTTTCAGTTAATCTAGAGGAAGAAAAACTTTTGAGGTTATAAAAAAAAATTGCTATCTCCAAAGTAATATTTTCAAGGATAAGAAAGCTATAAAACTTATTTCTAGCATTGTTTGCTACCATTTGCCAGTTTCTTAATATGTGGCAGAATTACATGTGATATAGTTTTCCATTTGTAAATATGTACACTTTTTGTACAGAAACAGTGACTGTGGTGTTTAACAGTAGTATTTTCTACTACTACATTTTTCATTTGATCATTTACAGAATAAAACTAAGTATATCGTAAACTATTTACGTAGTCTCTGCTTCATGGATAATTTAAGGAGTAACCTTCTGTGTGTGTGTGTGTGTGTACGTGTATTCTTTTGTTTGATTTTTAGCATTACATAGTTGTATTTATATATAGTAAAATAATGATCAAGCGGTTCACTAAAGTTTCACTCGGAGATACGATATAGGTGAAACAGTTCTTCGTTGAACCATGCTAAACACTAGCTACTATAAATGCCTAGGACGATTTTACACAAAATATTTCCCTGAAAGGGGTCACCTGTTTTAACCACTTGCCCCATTATACAGTTGTGTGTTGTCTGTCAATTAGTCAGTACACACTAAAATGATATCACATAAGGGATGCTTAACATTGCAATTTGTACTGTTGTGACATAACTAAAATGTGCTCATGCCATGAATCACGAGAAGAATTATGCACTCTGTAGGCTAGAACACAACATGACATATGAACTTCAAAAGTACGAAATAAAAAATTTCTTACTCTTAATTTTGGTTTTATTTACTGTTGAAACAGAACACTTTTGGGGACCCTGCAGAAGTACATATAGATTATGTTTCATTAATGGGAATATTTCAAACCAACAAATTTAAAACACAACATATCCTTCTTTGCTTTCACTCGTAAGTTCTTAGAATTACTAATATAGTTTTCTCGTATTGCTGATTTGTTGCTTGGCATACCCTGGGAACAAGAACACTAGCTTGCTAGTTTTTCTAAATGGTAGAAAAGTTAATTCAAATGGAAAAAATAATTTGTGTTAGAAATAAAACAAACAAAATTGGGTAATTAATCCTTGCCCTAAAAATATCTGATTTGTAAAGGATGTAAATAAAAATGATAATAATTACTAATCATTTACTTGATCTAGTTCACACCATAACAGTTATTGTTTGTGAAAGTTGATGATATAAATAACACCTAGACCACTAACCATGTCTGTTGTATCCCTGCTGGCCTAATGAAACCTGGTGTTGGACAAAAGGCCTTGTTGGCACTAGATGTGACATATGTAGTGTGGTTGATATATTGAAATATATTCTTCATTAATTTCATTCATGAGTGCTTAGACTATATAAATAGTAATTAGTTAATGTTTGACATGCAGTTCTTAAAACTGAGTTGTAATACTGATCTGACACTGGTAAACTACTGAAAAAGAAGAAGAAATCTGTATCAACAAATTTAATCACTTATCTGGGCCAGTGGTAAATTTATGGATTTCAGTGCTAAAATCTAGAGATTCAATTCCTCACAGTGGGCAGAGCATAGATAACCTATTGTGTAGATTTGTGCAAAAACAATTAAACACTGCTCTGGAATTGTATCAAGAACAAAGAAAAAATCTTTAGTTATTTTATTTCCCAGGTAAAAGCAGCAGAACTTTTTATACATAACCACCGACTGAAAATTAGAATACAAGCATCTTCCTTAATTTATACTTTCAATATTTATACATTATTCTCTCATTCATTTTGTGCTACGTACTGTTTATGCTTCATAATTTTCACATCACTACAATTTTTTCACATTTGATTGTTTATACTGAATATTTCTATAAAGTCCACAAGCAATTCTTCATTGATATAGTTCTTTTGTAGTGTCTTTCCTAAGGTTCCATGAATAATTTTATCAGGTTCAAAATAATGTTTTATAACAACAATCCTTTTGAAACAAATTACTTTTAATAGCCCTACAGGGGTTTCAATTGTGATTCCTTGTACCATTTCCAACTTTGTTTCAGCTTCTCCAGTGAATAGGTTGTTCAGTTTAGACAATATCCTGTACAATGACTTCCTGATAGTATTTACGAAAGGATGTAGCTCTTCTAGGATTTTTCATCAGGGATGTAACTGGTTAACATTTTATGTTTTGTTTTCAAGTATTGTTACATTATTTTTTGTAGGTCGTTCTTTCAAAGCATGTTGAGTTCCTAAAATGTAGATGCATAATAATCCTTAAAACAATAATACATACATGCATTTATTTACCTCTTGGCAGAGTAAATTGTTTACGACACCTAACTAATGTACTGAAATTGTCTGTATTATATCATCAAAATGTATAGTATCACACTGGCATATTGCAAGATTTCAGCCTACTTTCCAATTCATGAATTTTCTATACGCATCAAATTAACTTACTTTGTGACATTAATTAAAGTTTGTACTTACAATATTGAAGTAATGGATTATTATGTAAAGGAAAACATTTCTGTTTATAAAAATCTGCCATATTTAGCCCATAAAAAATGTTTTTCACTTGTAGCTGTAGATGATCTGAGAACAAATTTTAAAAGGATGCACCACAGCAAAACAGATACATTGGTTGTTTAGTACAGTGAAACCTTGTTAATAAAAACATATTTCTGATGAATTAATTCATACAGATAGTTAAATAAATCACTGAATACAATGGATACTATTAATAAACACGAGTTCTCAACTGATAAATGTGAAGGTGGGCATGCAACTGGTAAACAAAAAGCAATTGTATAT